CTGTGTTGTGTTTCAATACTTGAATGTGGCTTATCATTCTCCTCCATGACCGGAACATGGCTTTATTACATTGTCATGTGATAGGTCTCTATCGATAATCGCTAGAACTACCCTTAATGGTTGTCGCTGGTCGGACGTCGGCAAAGTGTGTTGGTGCTGAGGTTGTATAACGTTCATATAGGTATGAGGTATTGAATATAAAGCGTACTTTTGAATACATCCCGGCATCTGAGTATGAAAGTGGTTTTGGACGATAGTTGATATAATGACAATCCATTGTCAGCATGACCTCACCACCCCGTTATGGTGTAGTGGCTAACATTATCGCCTCTCATAAACCAAAGTTCTGGCGTGCGCGATAGCCCACGGTTCGATTCCCTGTAACGGAATGAATTTTTTGGATCCATGTATTTTGTCTCCCGAGCGATTGACCATTTTTTGAGCGTTCTCTGAATGTTTTCTACTTTTTTTTTTGACTACGCCTTCCATAGGTATAGTTATTCCGGATCGACTCGGACAACTCAAGCGCTGGGAGCCGAGATGCACGTGGGTTGCCGCTTTGCCATTTACCATCACCACCCAAACGCCGACAGCTCGAATCGTACGTTTTTTCTTTTTTCTGCCTAGTACGATGTTGACCACTCTTCCCAGAACTCTACCTTTCCTCGAGACATTCATCCTTTCAAGCTCAAGCGGAACCAGCGCTCTCCCTTTATGCTAGAAAAACCACGTTCATCTATACGCCCACAAAATATTCTATACCGACCATTCACTCGCTCAGAAGATCAAGCACCCCATTGCTTGAGGTCAAAAACACGCTCAAAGTCTTTTCCCGACGCTCATCGTCGTCCTCCCCTGCAATGATTCCAGTCGCCGATCTACCCATGCGCTCTTACGGTCCGCCATCGTCATCAATGCCGCCCTTGAGCTTGAGAGCTTGGGATACCAACCGCAACAGGAGGCAGTGGTGGGTGTGGTTCAAGAAGGGAAAACACAGGTACGTCTATGATGACGATTGCTTCTTTCCGACCGTGATTCTTACGATCAACGTCTTCGCGTTCTTAGGTCCTCCTCCGACAATCATTATCTCGAAACATCATGCGTGTTTCATCTGCGACCTACTATACAACACAACCGGGTTCAGGATATCCCAGCGTCAATCTCTTTCCGATATCACATGGAATGCGAACACCCAAGTCGTTCTTTACGAAGCTCCTGCCTCAACCTTCCTACGATCTCAAGGTCCTCCGTTATCCAGTCGATCGATCGACTCCCGCTATCCCCCACCGCGGATACAAGCCGAGCATGGAGGGTGTTAGTGTATGTGGGTGTTTGGGCACGGTGGGGTCATTCGGAGGGATAGGGAAATGCAAGGTACGTCGACTATTTGATTGGTGTTCTAATATCGTCCTCACTCAGATTCAATCAAACATAAACCCGATCACTCAGTAATTCTTAGGGACAGATGTACGCATAATGTGCGCGTTACAACTCCAATGTGGTGTAGTGGCTAACATTGCTGTCTTTCATGACACGCACGGTGAACAATGCACAGCAGCCCGGGGTTCGATTCCCCGCATTGGAACATAATCCCCTGATCTTCTCTTTTCCTCTAGCGTCGACCGGATCTTATTCGTCTTGCGGAGCAATCTGGGCCATTCTTTTACCCCTCGTTCTGGTTCACCCTATAGCAGCATATAACGAAGTACGGGTAATGATACAAAGCCGCGGCAAGTGGTGTAACATAGATTTTTGTCTCCCGAACGATGTCTCTCTGACTGTCTTCAAATGACACCATTGTCGCCATGCACCTGTACGCGAGGAAAACTCTAATGTCGTGCATCAGCACATCCTGGAATTAGCATACCAGCTTGGGTTTCGACTCCCCCGCATTGAGAATTGACACGTCGTTCAGTAAATCCAAATGTCTCTGTTTGATCATGCTGAGAGACTTTTACTCTAATTCGTTTTCTCTAAGTACTCTATTTGGTGGATTTTGAACATGATAATCGAATCATCCTTTACCGTTATAATTGATTTTTAGAATGACCGGCGGTACGGAAACGCGCCGAACCAGCCGGCGATCGGATTAGGATTGGAAACCGCGTGTTGATGCTTCTTGCTTCTTCGACTTTGACTATCACCATCCAAAGTCCGACAGTGACGAGAATCGTGCGTTCTCTTTCTTCCTGTCTAGCTACGAGGTTGACCAATCCCCGTTATTTCTGGGACTCTGGCTTTCATCGATACATAAACGCAGGTTGAGGCTAAACTAGCTCCCATGCCTTCAATTTAGACGGGAATGTTACTCAGCAACTCAAATACGACAACCGTCTTCAAGCTCAAGGGGATCCAAGACAGTTCTGTATCTCGTTATGCTAGGACATCAAACGATGATCTGTATATGGACACGAATCATCTACAGCTCATAACAGGTCGAATCTAAATCAACTCCCGCGTGCTCGAAGCTCAAATGCCTTCGTTGGGAATGTTACCATGAAGAAGTTCTCAACTAGTATACGACGCTCGCCTACAAGTTCAAGCGGATACCAGGGTCTTAACGTGTATCGCGTTAACATGCGCTCAGAATCAACATCAAATTAGGAAACGTGATCCCTGGGTATTTATGGGCGGTGCGCTCGTTGTCATCGCCGACTGTCAATCTATATCCCGTTACGTAGGATACCGTCAAGCCCACGAGTCAACACCAGAAGGAAAGACTTCACTCCTTGGGGTCGCCTCCTTCCCATTTGTGGATGTTTACCATCTCGGAGCGACATTGGAAGATATTGGAGGTGTATTGGGATGGGAAATATGTCGACCTCCCTGCATTGGAAATAGGTGCTTCTGCATGTTCTTGTACCATACTCAGCCGGAGATTGGGGGTCACTGACACCAAGTTGGTGATCCAAATTCTTGCTTCTTCAAATTTGATTATCACCATTCAAACTCCGACACGTCCGACTCCTAGTAGCAAGTTGACCGCTCGTCATCCGAGGACATGAACGCAGGTCGAATATAAATCGACTTCTACCAGACACTCAATTTGGGTGGGAATGTTACCTCCTATCATGAACCCGCTCAAGTACGACACTGCCTCTCCGAGTTCAAACGGATCCTAGGCTCTTTCGTTTTCCTATACACCCACGAATCGATATCAGACGAGAAAACACCATTCCTTGGCTGATATCCCTGTTCATCGATGCTGTGTTCGTTTTCATCCCGTGATGACATTGGAGGATATTGGAGACGATTATATGGGCACAGGTGTGTGGGTGTATTGAGATGGGAGGTGTGTCGACTTTTGTCTCAATAACCCGGGCGCAGGACTGATCATTCAACCCAAAACTGGTTCAGCAGACATTTTATTGCAAGATTTCCCCCCACAATACACGCACTCTCGGTCACTCTCGACGTTTGGATAGGAAGACGAAAAAACTGGAGGCAGTGATTCCTTCTGTCGATCTGTTTCTATGATCGCTGGGACCAAATGGTCGCCCTGTCTTCTTTGACATCTGCCGTCGTAACCTGCTATGATTCCAATGCTAACTCCTACTTGCATATCAGCTTTCCTGCCTTTGCACAGTCTTCAGGGGTTCCGGATTTGAATGAGCCTCTCCGAGTTGGCGTCTGATATTCGACGTCGCTGTGAATTTTTAGAAACTTTCCTCGTGGCACCTTTCTGGCCTCCACCAGGTATTTTTGATCGTCTGAACATCTGATGTTCTTGCCTAGAAGACGAGCACCAATACCTAGTCAAAAATCCAGTCGATCAAGTCAGGCAAGCCATGCCTACATTCTGGCCCATACATTGTTTGGGACAGTTCGCCATATTCTTTAAATATCGACGTCCCGGACCTCAAGGGTGGATAAAGATGGTTGATCGTTTGAAATGGAACTCTGATCGACGGAGAACCTCCGCTGCCAGCTGTCAAGTTTGAGCAGCGCTCCTTCTTTCGTGGCGGACTTCCTGGGAAGCTCCAGTCACTTTCGGGACACCTTATGAGCGAAGGAGCGGATATATCGCGTTTAACATGATGCAAATTTATTCCGGATCTGCAATTGCTAAGCAGTAGAGTACTGGTCTCAGCATCTTTAATGTTTTACTTATTACAGCCTCTTCACGCGCCGATTACTAGCCTCGAGTCCCCCATTGTAGAAGTAATTTTGGAGCTCATACCAGACATTAGTTAGTAGAACGCCATCCAGAAAAAGGCACTATGTAGATACTACATTGAGGGGTTGTGGTCAGTATGTTTTTTGGTACCAAGTTAAAAATGGCACAACTTGTCCTACGACAACTATTGTATATCGGGCTTTGGTGCCCATGCCAGTGCTATTCGTTATTCAAATTATTCCATACCAGATTATTCATTATCGGGAATTCTACTGTGTAAGGAGTTAGGGTGTGCCTTGTACGTGTCGTAGTTACTGGTTTTTTCTGATGTCAATACATATCTACTTGGGGAGCAGCATATAAGATGGTTTCGCAGCGGCGCAAACTATACATTGCAAGGATGCACAGGGAAAAACGCTCTTCTCAGCAACGTGTTGGTCCTCGCGCTGTCAGAGCATGCACTAACTGTCGTCGTCAAAAGACAAGGTGTAAACCTCATCGCAACGAAGGACTTACAGATGACTCTGAGGTCTGCACGCGATGTTACCTGAAAGGGATTCATTGTGAATACCTTCGCGTCAAATCTCCCTCGTCTTCACGGCAGCACAAAGAACCACAAATGACCCTTCCCGAACCTCCTCTCTCCACGCTAGGGTTAATCCCAATTCCAAGGCCGCCACAGGCTAGTGTTATTGTCGGTCAGGCCATCGAATGCCCATCACTTCCTTCCACTTTCGCCTTCCTAGATGAAGGCCCACGTTCAGACTACACAAACAACGATCACTTCGCCGGTGCCTTTGGAAATAGCGATCAAAATGCCATTTTCATGCAGCAGGAATCATGGGATCGGAACGAGTCTCATCAGGGAGATTCTTGGGAAAATTGGCATTTCGCGTCAGTGGCAACAGCTATACCCAAGCAAGAACACGCCTCGATGGTCCCGGAACCAAGTTCATATCACAACACAAACAACGATCGCTTCGCCGGTGCCTATAGAGACCAAAACATTATTTTCATGCAGCAGGAATCATGGAACCGAAACGAGTCTCATCAGGAACATTCTTGGGGAAATTGGCATTTCCCATCAGTGGCAACGGCTACATCCGAGCTAGAACACGCCTCGATGGTCCCGGGACCAAGTTCATACCAACAAAACGGGGGCTTCACTTTACCCAGCTCTTCACAGCACTCTTTTGCGCGGGTAGATGAACGCCATATACCGTGGGACTCCCAGACAGGGTTTGTATTCTTATAATAGCTCTATATATATGCTGACAGAGCGATCATTATAGAGATATTGCGGCTACATGTCTACGACAGCCATGTCCCTGGGGACATAACTAGATCTCTCCGCTGAGATTAAGCAGCACTGTAGCAAAGTTTCAGCAGCCTAAAGTACTACATACAGCGTAAAAGTCTCATTTGATGTCTGATCCTTGTAAAGTACGGACGCATCTTCCCCGATAATAGATTTACACCTGCAGCAGATAGTCACAGTCTTGGTATATCTCGACCGAGATTGATACACCCAATTTCCACTAACTCTTATCCGCCACTTGACGGACATACCGTTTGGACCGTTCGTTCACTCTCTACGGCATCGCTCCGAAGCAGCCGATGCTAAGGTGAGGTTGCCGCGAATCACCATCCAAACACCGACAGTGACTCGAAATCGTACGTAAAACTTTTTTCTTCCCTTGCTACGACACTGAGCATTCCTCTCCCCCTCAGATATCTTGTTTCCCTTGAGCCTATCTATCCACAGAATCCCATGGTGTGGATTTAGGACATGGCTATACCAACTTTCTCATATCGACCATCCTATGCCAATCATTCACGCCCTCAGAAGATCAAATGTCCTTCAAGTCGCGCTCAACGTCTCCCTTTGACACCAATTAATCTCATCCCTCGTTGTGGATTCAGTTGTTGCTTCCTGGATGAAAAACCACATATATTTGCAGTCCTGCATCTGCCGTCGACACCGCTCCCGATACCAACCTCGAAAGGGTAAAGGTGACAAGGCGGATGTGGGTCCAGGAAGAGGGCAGATACAAGGGAATTGTACGCCCATACGGTTACCGGATTAGGGAAGATCCAGATCCTCCACTTGGATCCAGCCTTTTTCATCCTCAATCTTGTTCCTCTCGACACGGCCATTCGAGTCCCCGCTGACTCTCTTGGGGTGCATGTAAGATATGGCTACACCGACTTCCCTGTGCCCATCTCATCAATTCTATTATTATATCTATACCAACGAGTCACCCGGTCAGAAGAACAGGTTTTCGTTACGTGAGGTGGTCAAGACACTCTTCGATCTCACCGGCATTGAAATTCGCTCCCTGGAGTCAAATACACGTGGTCCTCCAGTCATCGTCGACACTCATTCCGACATACTAATCAAACTTGAAGGCATGAAAGCTACGATGGGGGTATGCAAGGGTAGATTGTTCGGTTACTTGTGCGTTTATTAGTTTGCAAGCTTTTCCTGTCTGATATCTTTTCCGTGATACAAGACTCCTTTCAGCCGAAGGTCGAGTTATTGAAAATTCCCTTGAACAACCTGCTACATACCTTCGCTGGCAAGCCCGCGCTATCAGGACACTCCGCCGAATGGTTGCGTGGGTAAACGATAACATGTAAGGAGAGTAACGAGACCATGAAGGAACTAGGCAGGGGTGGTTGTGGTGCGCTTGTTGGGACTTGCTGTTTTCTTTGCGGCCCTTGCCTCTGACATATGTCTACGTTCACTTTCTACGCCGCTGTTTATGCGATTACCATTGTACAGAGTCAAATCATGGAGGTCGGGGTCGGATAACAACATATTCCCCGCATCGCATGTTGATGATTTTGGCAAAGAATCATCCGATCGAGCTGCATATCCTGAGGTGCGTTATTTGCATAGAGTATTCTGTTTCAGGAGGACAACACCGTTATGTGAAAAACTCCTATCAATACCCTTCCTCATGTATACAGCAGGTGTGTTGGTCCTGACAGTGTATCACCATAAAGGTATGAGGTACTTAAGGGGGTGGTTGTTTATAATAGATCATCATTACTTTAACATATTACTTAGTCATCATCAGCATTTCTCAGTTTGCGTACTGTGTTTTTGGTACATATCGATACGTTATGCTGTTAAGGAACAGTGCGAGGAGCCGAGAGCCAAAAGACACGTGGATTACCGCTTGTGGTTCTTTTACGTTTACCATCAAACGCCGACAGCTCGAATCGTACGTTTTCCTTTTTGCTTGCCTAGTTACGATGTTAATCACTTTTCCTTCTCTGAAGCTGTCTTTTTCCTCGATACAGCCATTCTTTCAAGCTCAAGCGGATACAAGGCGAAACTCTTTATGCTAGTACAACCACGTTCCGAAACACAGGTACGTCTATCTTAACCATTGCTCCTTTCCAACCGTGATTCTTACGATCACCGTCTTCGCTCCCTTAGGTCCTCCGACGTTCATTATCTCGAAATGTGAACCGTCCTTTAGCTGCGACCTACCATACTCTACAATCGAGCTCGGGATACGCAAGCGTCAATCTCTTTTCTATATCACATGGAATGGGAACACCAAGTCGTTTTTTTTTATCAAGTGCCTACCCCAGCCTTCCTACGATTTCAAGGTACTCCGTTACCCAGTCTATCAACCCACCCTATATTAGACGGAAGGGGAGCACTCATTTCGTCTCCGCTATACCCTACTGTGGATATATGACGACCACGGAGGGAGTTCGCGTATGGGCGTGTGGTCAGGTTGAAGGATTCGGAGGGCAGCGGAAGCGGGAGGTACGTCAACTATTTGATTCCCTCCATTGAGGGTGCTCTAATATCGTCCTCACTCAGCTCTCCCCATGTTCACCCTCCTCTTCGTCGATGTTTCGTTTAGGGCGTTCTCGTCCAGGATCGACACACTAACATATGAAAGGTTTCCTATTGCTGTTGGTGCCGAGAGTGGAGGTATGACTGGATCCGCGTACTTATTAATCACAATACTGTCTAAGATGAGGTACCACGCCCTTGTTTGCAGTCGGTATGAAGATGGTACAATTATATGACAACATAGCTATGCGTGTAAGAGAATCAGCTGCTCCGTTATGGTGTAGTGCTAGCGTTATTGCCTCTCATGCCAATCCCCCAATGTTGAGATGAGATAGCGATAGCCCACGGCTCAATTCCCTGTAACGGAATATAACAACCCTGGATAGCTATCTTTGTTTCCCTCATTCAATGACCATTTATGTAGCCCTTCTCTCAACAGCTCATTATACAACTGTACATATTACGGTTTCGTACATAGCGCTATGGTCGCTAGAACGAAATACAGCCTCTAAAAACTGGAGATGGGGCATGGAATGGTACGCGACATAAACTCCAATGTCATGTAATGACTATCATGCATCAGCGTATAATGGAATTAGCATAGCAGCTTGGGTTTGACTTCCCGCATTGGGAATTGGCACGTCGTTCTCTGAATCCAAGTGTTTTTGGTTGTCTATGCCGAGAGACTTTTACTTTGATTCGTTATCCTTGATCTTTGAATGGTGCACTTTGAACAGTACCATAATAGAATCTTCAGAACTGACCGCCGCTATGTCGCCGAACGGGCTAGCGATCGGGGAAGGGTTGGACACCGCGTGTTGATGCTTCTTGCTTCTTATTCCTTGACTATACCATCCAAAGTCCGACGAGAAGTCGTGCGTTCTCTTTCTGCCTAGTCACGCGGTTATCCACTGTTCGTTCTTGCTCTCCTCGATAAGACTACATAAACCCAGGTCAAATTTCAATTAAGTCCTACTATGCCCTGAAACTGGCTCGGAATGTTACTCCGCATCATGAAGACGTCTTCAACAACGATACTCCCCTCCAAGTTCATACTGATCCAAGGCTTTTAACGTGTATCGGACACTGACATGTTCGCCTCTACGCCAGGGATCGATATGAGACGAGGGAATATCGTTACTGCGCGTTTCTTCCTGTTTGTGGAAGCTACTTTTGTTGGCATTCCGGAGCGACATTGGAGGATATTATGCGGTGGTGTATTGGGATAGGAGGTATGTCGACTTTCTCCGTAACCACCATGACGCAGGACTAATAGTTACCGTTGTTATTCCACCCAAGACCAGATCATTGACGATTTTATGGCAACATTCCCCCGCACAACGCTTCCCTCTCATCAACAGCTTGAAATATCGTACCTATCGGCTTCAATTGCGAATTTACGCTCTCTCGGGTATGTCAAACGGTCGTGTATGAAGGGGTGATCAGAGAGTTGATGGTTCTTAAGCCTCAAGCTGACTATCACCATCCAAACTCCGACATTGACTAGAGTCGTGAATTCTTTACAGGACTCCCGCTCGCTACGATATAAATATAGGATTTCATCTACAGCTCATAATAGCTCGAATCTTAACCAACTCCTGCGTGCTAGAAGGTCACATGCCTTCGTTGGGAATGTTCCCATGAAGACGTTCTCAACTGGTATAACGATGCTTCTCTGTCAATTCAAGCGGACCCCAGGGTCTTAACTTGGATCGCGTTACGTTATTGCACCAACATGCGCCCCAGAATCAATATCAGACCAGAAAACGGGATCCCTGGCTATTTATAGGTCGCGTGCTCGTTACCATCGCTGAGTGACAACATTAGAGGATGTCGGAGATGATTGTGTAGGTACAGGCTTGTGAGTGTACTGAAGACTGGTCCAGCGTACATTATTCTACCGCGCAACACTTGGAATTGCCAACATACTCTCTCTCGGTCACTCTCAACGTTTGTATAGAAAGGCGGAATAACCGAAGGCAGTGATTCCTTCTGTCGGTTTGTTGTTATCATTGCTGGAACCAATTGATTACTTTGTCTCTTCTTTGGCATCTGTCGTCGTGAACTGCGATGATCCCAATGCTGTATCCTGTGCAGAACGAGGATAAGTGTCTCGTTACATTGCACAATCTCCTGGGATTGATTCCCCATATCTGAATGAGGCCGATTAGCACAGATATGCGACGCCGCTGTGAGTTTTTATAGTGTGTCTTCAGGATAACTAATATTTTTTTGCGTAGGAGGGGGTACCAAAATGTAGTCATATTCTCTTCTCTATCCGTTCTCGCACCCCGATGAGCTAACCTCCGAGTCGGAAGGCTGTGGGCATACGGTAAGACTTGTTGGAAAGGTTACAAGTATATAATTGTCGCTTGATTCGGACATTTGCGATCAATTGTTCTCATGTAGTCCACTGAGGGCGAAAACTTACCGTACTTCATCCCCGACAGTGTACTTTCGTCAAAACGTACGTACTTATGCAAATCCTTGAACAGCGGCTATGTAGGTCATTGAACCCCTGCGTTCTGTTTAATATATGCTCTTCACTACCGATTTCTTTCTTTGCGATACATACGAATGAAAGAGGTGATGTGGGACATCATTTTGTAGAACGCGAAGAGGCCGGATACTACATTGAATATTGAGGTGTTGTGGTCAGTGTGATTGATTTTGGTTCTAAGTAAAAAAGGCATAATGGAGCGTATTTATAGACTTCTATGAAAGTTTGGCTGGGGCCAAATCGCTTGTCCAGGGGTACAAATGCACTCTAATTCGTCCCAGAGACACTATTGTTCAGCAGTAAATGAGCCAGGTCCCGTATAAGGAGTTAGCAGTGTGGCTTGGGCGCGACACATTTGCTGTCATTTCTTGATTGTAATACATATCTACTTTGGGAGCAGCATATAAGATGCTCCCATAACTGCGCAAACTATACATCGCAGAACGAGTCACATCAGGAACAGTCTTGGGAAAATTGGCATCTCCAGCCGGCGGCAACAGCTATATCCGAGCTAGTAGGACATGCCCCGATACCAAGTTCATGCGAGCAAAATGGAAGCTTTGCTTCATCTAGCTCTTCAACGCACTCGCTTGCGCGGTTAGATGAACCCCATATATCGTGGGACCCCCAGACAGGGTTTGTATCCTCGTCATAGCTTTATCTGTATGCTGACAGAACCATTGCTATAGAGATACTGCGGTTATATGCCTAGGACAACCATGTTCTTGTGGACGTCACTGGATCTTTCCTCCATAGTTAAGTAGCGCTGCAACAAGGTTTCAACAGCCTAAAGCACTACCTACAACATACAAATTGAGACTGTATTCTTTTGATATCTGATGCTTGTAAAGTACGGAGGCATCTTTACTCCAATGATAGATCTACCCCTGCCGCTATGCTGCCTGATATGGATCACGCTTAAACGACTGACAGACTGAACTTCCAGCATTACACGATTGGGCGCTTCACCCCCGTCGGTTAGGCGAGCCTATGCTCTTTCAGCAGGATAATATATAGGACAAGTAAAGAGATATAAAGGAATCAGATAAGCGTAGATTGTTCGGTCAGTTTACTTGTGCGTTTGTCAGTTTGTAAGCTTTTCTCGTCTGATAGCTCTTCCGTGATACAAGATTCCTACCAGCCGAAGATCGTATTGAAAATTCCCTTGAACAACCTGCTAAATAATCTTAACACGCTCAAATCTACATTAGGCTGGCAAACTCACGCTATTAGGACACTCCGCCGAATTGCTGCGTGGGTGGACGGTAACATGTAAGGAGCGTAAGGAGTGCATAAAGGAGCCAGGCAGGGGTTAGATCATCTACTTTATAACCCCGCCTCTGACGTATTTACGTTCAGTTTCTCCAGCGCTATTTATGTGATTACCGTGGTACAGAGTCAAATATGGAGGTCGGGGTCGGATTCCAATATATTCCCCCCATCACATATTGATGATTCTGGCAGAGAAATCATCCGAGTCGATGCTTCGAGAATGGTGGGTATGCAGAACGTTGGTATCGGAGCAGCGAGTATAGACGTGTTGACCTTTTGTGCCGAAGATGCATAATGGTCGGCTGCATGATCGAGTAGCGATGGCGGGGATGTGTCTGTGGTGTGTGCTTTGACATAAGCTATGTCTATTCTCGGATGATTTCGAAGGAGGTGGATGAGCCAGCGGTAATATGACCGTCAAATGAGATGAGTCTCATTAGATTGACGTCCGGATATCCGGAACTGTTCAGGTATCGGAGATGATGCGAACAGCGTTTAGATGGTCCGAGTAGATGGTAGCGTGGGCAGTGGAATGATCATCTGCTGAGAGAATAGTGCTCGCTACAAGGCCTACCATTTCCCCGTGAAGAATGTTCGCACTAATCCCATCGACGCGGAGTGCTAGTGATAGTTGACCGGCCCAGTGAGAGATCCATTGACAGTTGTTGACATAAGCTGATTCCTGTCGACACTCCTCAAGTCGATGGTCGTCATTAAGATCCCGCTATGTTGACATTAGTCGACATCTGTTGGTATAGGCTGGAATCCACGAAGAATCGTCCATACTGCCCGTTTTCGTCGGTTATGATCAGATAATATGAAGGCTTAAATGATATATATTGGTGACTATCAACTACAGGGTGTATATGATGCGTCATGATGAGGATACCGCTAGGCTGGGGTAGACCTGGCGCCTTCCCCCTTCTCCTACCCAGTTCAGGGACCACCGTCTTCCTATGTTCCTTCTATGCAATGTTCTTCATGTGTAGTCTGTTTCTGTGGTCACCTGAAGCCAAGGTCAGAGCTGGCAAGTTAGAGAAGGATAGAAACGTACGCTGTCTGCCACCCTAAAAGCCCCTAAAGCCATCCATGTCTAATAAATCGCTACTGAATAAATGTCATCTCAGGGATGGGTATGCCATGGATAGAACATACCGCTGGAGATGTCGAAGTATGCATACACGAGAACACAGTCGCGTCAGTGCCCGTCGTTATGATATTGACCTAATAAAGCTCACCGTGACATATGCCTCCGTAGGTCTTCCCTGCTTGAGGCCTGCTGAGGAGAAGTGATAGTGAGCACGCGAGGGAGGAAAATAAGCCGGGTTGAAGATGATCATGACGGGAGGAAGCAAGGAAGAAATTGGATGGGCTTGTTCGGCTCGGAGTTTGTCCACAACCAAAGTCATACAATTATCATTCTTTATTTTGGCAATGGTAAGGCACACCATCATCGAGCTGTGATTGTCATTGAAAACGTTGAGCTAACTGCTGGCTGAATATCGACTCAAAATTCTGAAAACATCAACTGACGCCAGCAGTCATCAGATTCGTCAGCCGACGTCAACGCACTTCTCGTTGGGAACGTTGACCGGG